GTTATGTTATGTTATGTTATGCTATGCTATGCTATGCTATGCTATGGTAAAGGTAAAGGTTCCCCTAGCACATATGTGCTAGTCGTTCCCGACTCTAGGGGGTGGTGCTCATCTCCGTTTCAAAGCCAAAGAGCCAGCGCTGTCCGAAGACTCTCTGTGGTCATGTGGCCGGCATGACTAAACACCGAAGGCGCACGGAACGCTGTTACCTTCCCACCAAAGGTGGTTCCTATTTTTCTACTTGCATTTTTACATGCTTTTAAACTGCTAGATTGGCAGAAGCTGGGACAAGTAACGGGGACTCATTCCGTTACGCGGCACTAGGGATTTGAACTGCCGAACTTTCTGATCAGCATCTTAGCCACTGAGCCACGGCATCCCTAGGTGGAAAAGTATGCACCCCGATAAATGGGACGCCTTCAAGCTACTGTGACATCACATCCACAAAGATAACATAATCCACACGATGCCACTTGATTTCCCTTCCTCTCATGAAAGGGTCTAAACATGAAAAGGGGGGGAAATGTGTTATATTCGTTCAGCATTGTTGCATAGATCACTCACCGTCCTTCAGCCTGCTGAGCTACAGAGTTAATCCAGGTGAGGTTTTTGCCAACTACAGCCGAAGACCAGACAGCTATCCCTTGAATGGCTTCGGGGCAGTGAAGTTCACAGAGGGCTTCGACAACCATCATGATCGTTACTTCTAATTCACTTCCCTAGGAGCAGAGAGATTAAAAAAAATGGTTAGCCTCATTTATTGGTTTAACCCCATCATGCCCAACTCTAGGGGGTGTCAGTTATTGTAGCCCGCCAGCGGAGCTTGCAGCAGAGTCGGACAGTGAGGAGGTTGGGAAGGAGTATGGGCCAGTCCTGGAGCCTGGGGAAGGCTTGGACAAGGGCTCTGCATCGTAGACAGAGACGGAGCTGAGGCTGTCTGGCAGTGATCAGCTGCCTCCAGAGCTAAAGTCGGGGACACAATGATCAGGAATTTGGGTGCAACTGTGGGGGACCATGGAGGACAGCGGGTCCTGGCAGGCTAGGTTCATAGGGTCACCAAGAATCGGACATGACTTAGCAACTGAGCAACTAATTTTAATACTTGTGATTCTTATGACAAGTCCATCTCACGTAATTACTCTGCATGGGAGGTGGGGAAACAGGACATAAGCAAGCCAGCAGCCTTTGGCTCCCCCCCCATCCCCCCCAGTGATTTATTCAGAAGACTATGACAATATTAGGCCCAGAAGTGTCATTACCTGAGATACGTTATTAGTCTTCATTTCTGTCAGCAAATCAAAGCCATGACGGACAGTGACGGCGGGCTGTCCAGCCAATAACCCAACGCGCATGATGGAAAGTCGAATACGGGTTAACCAATCTTGGCAAGTTTGGCGGTTTGTGTAGAAGAAGGTCCTGATTACCTTTGAAAACAGAGAGGGAGAAATCTCATTTGCTACCTGTTTATCACAGGTGTAGAACAGAAAGATCTACCTGTACACCATAAAAGCAGTAAAAAATAAACAAAACGAAGTGGAGCGAAATCTATGGGAAGCAAATTTGCATTGCATCATGGAGCGTAACTTTGGAGAGTCTATCATGAGAAGGAACTTTGGACCATGAAGACAACCACAATTAACGGCTGATCTGTTGATCAGCAACTGGGTGTTTTAAAGCTACGACGTAAGTAAGAGAGGGAGGAGGGACTGGTGTTACCTTTGGTGGGGACGTAAGAGCATTGGCGCACCCTTCATACGCATTATACATCAGTTTCTCCAAGTTCTCCAAGTACTGAAGGAGCAGTACCAGCCGCAGTTGGTTGCTGCTGTGACCTTCGTCGTTATCAGCTGTAGTCCACTGGCTGACGTCTTGATCCGGATTTAAGGTGTGAGCTGCAAGGCTTCTAATGATACCTGGAAGCAGGGCCCATTCAGAACAGATCAGGATACAATATTTCAGACTAACCCTTTCTACCCAAACGTGAAAAAGGCAATCCCTTCATTGCAGAAAAGATCCCATGGGCATATTGAGCATTTTGAACTGAATCATATGGAATGCACAGACATCCTTGTATAAAAGTTTACAAAAGTCATCCACAGATTATTTCAGTCTGATTTTATCTCACACAGGAAGCAGCAGGGATAAGGGTGTAACTAGCTAGGAAAATACTAGAAAAAGAGCATCCTTCACAAAGCTCTGATTTGTTTGGACAAAACCAAGGCTACAATCTTATGTCTGATTTGCCATCCCATTAGAAAAGGATTTAATTTTTTTATAACCGCATTAAAATGCATAGGAATTTCATGCATGCTGTGCCTTGGAAGTCTAGGGAAAAAAATTCAAAGAAATGTTTTTGTAAATTTCAGCAACATGTTGACTAGAATGCTTTTTAAAAATGCAACTGCACATTATGCATTTTAAGTTAAGGCAGGTTTCAATTTTAAAAACGTAGGTGCACTATTTCTAAAATGCCCCTCAATTTTTGGGAAACACACCTGCGTACTGTTTATGAACATGTTTTAAAAATGTCTAGTCATCCAAGATAGAAAGTCTGAAAATATACTGTAAATCTTTTCAGGTTACCTTCAATAGTCTGGAACGTGTCCTGAGCTCTTCCTAGGGGTGTTCTTAACTTTGAAAGGACAGTAAATTGGGCTGCTTCCCAAATAGCCCACTGCCAAAGGACAGCCTCGGTTTTCAATAAATTGCGTGGAATACTGGATTGATCGTGTTTGTCCAATCTTTGGCAGCTATAAAATAACCTTTCTAGCCAGCTCTCTTTCCTGAAACAGAATTGGTTATTGAGGCAGGGGAGCAAAAGTTAATACAATGTAACTGAATTATATTTCATTTGGATGAAGAGAGGAATGTTAGCCACAGTAACAGTGGCTGTACTCAGATTTAATATCAAATAAAATTAATGGTTTTTCATTCTATCTATATATGTTTCAGGGTGTCAGTTCCTCTCCTCCATCCGCAGCCACAAGCAAAACCTCTCGTAGAGGCTGAGTTATTTAACACAATATATTGAGGACCTGTACACTGCACGAGTCAAAGAGGACCATGAAAATATTTACAGACCACTCGCATCCTGGGCATAAATTGTTTCAACTCCTACCCTCAAAACAGTGCAGAGTTTTTTTTCCCCGAACGCCATCACTCTGCTAAACAAATAATTCCCTCACCACTGTCAAACTATTTACTAAGTCTGCATTACTATTACTATTAATCTTCTCATCGTTCCTATCACTCATCTCCTCCCACTTACGACTGCAGGACTGTAACTTTATTGCTTGTATCCTTACGATTTATATTGATATTGTTTCCTGATTTCTTATTTATACCCTATGACTATCATTAAGTGTTGTACCTTATGATTCTTGACAAATGTATCTTGTCTTTTTAGGTACACTGAGAGCATCTGCACCAAAGACAAATTCCTTGTGTGTCCAATAACACTTGGCCAATAAAGAATTCTATTCTATTCTATTCTATTCTATTCTATTCTATTCTATTATTATGTATAATTTCTCAGAAACTGATTATCTCTTGCCAATATACCCATTTTTCCTTGTTCTTCCACCCCACCAAATAATTTTCTTTTGGGGGGGGGGGTAGCTTTGAAGTCCGCAGGTGCTTCTTACCCTGTTCGGTGAGAACTTCCATACAGGATGAAACTGATGATATCAGAAAAGTCTTGTGGGTGAAATGTGTTGCTTGGAGCTTTACTCATGTGTCCTCGAATGGCTAGGGAGATTTCTTGGATTTCTGCATGGTGGTGATTGCTATCAAAAATTACAAGGAAAAATTAACACAAATTGTTTAGTGAGAACTTGGGAGGCAAATTGTCCTGACTGAGGCTTCCCAAGGGCATCAAGCAAACTCCTGGTCCTGACAAGGGCGGATTTATAGCCATAGGCCTTATCTGGCTTGGAGAGCTGACAGGCTGATATCTGCAAAACTGGGCAAGGAGTCTTGGAGAGTCACAAACCAATGAAGCGAACTAATTGTCTCCTGCAAACTCCACTCCTCTTTCGCTCCTCTTTTATTTCCCCTGGGAGGGGCCATTCATTGTCCACCTGAGGCCTTACTCCCAAGTCGACCCCTGTTCTTTAGCTGTTCCCTTCATCTGGCAACTCTGCGCATGCGCACACTGGGAACAGGCTCCAGCTGTTCGTCTGCCTCACTGATGTCTGACTCTGAAGGCAGCTGATAACTGGCATACGGCCCTGGCCCCCTCTCTGCCTCCGACACAGAGCCCTCATCAGAGCCTTCCCCAGACTCCACAACCAGCCCATGTTCCTCCCCAACCTCCTCACTGGTCAAGTCTGTTGCCAGCTCTTCTGGCCACTGGCGGGCCATAACAATAACTGACTAAATAAACACAATCTCTCTCCCAAAAAAAAAAAATTAATACCCACCATTTAGGGAGTGTTTTGGACTGGCATTATTGCCACTGTTCAAATTAGCCAACTTGAGAACAGCTTTATCGAAACCGGCGACACAGCAATCAACCCCCGTCATGGCAGAGAGATGCTCCTGGTACTCGATGGCTGCCTTTTCAAACCTTCAAGAATGTCAGTTACAGGAGTTAGCAAAACTTCCCATGACTACTTATGCAGTTTTTAATCCATCCCATAATAGAATGTTCCTCACTGGGCAGGAATGCCCTGACTCATATAGCTTGGCAATGAGCAGACAAGGAGCGCAGATTGAACCTGCAAATTCACCTTTTCCAGCTGCTCTTCCCAGTAAAGGGAGAGAGAGAAAGAATGGTACATGAGCCCATCATCCTGTTCATCAATGTTCTGCTATTCAGAAAAAAGGTTACAAACTTCTACCTTCTCATCATCCCTTACCTTTTAAATGAGGAGTCTCCAAACTTGGTGACTTTCAGACTTCTGAATTCGACTCCCAGAATTCTATACTGGCTGAGGAATTCTGGGAGTTGAAATCCACAAGTTTTAAACTTAAGTGAAGTTTGGAGACCGAAGTTCTAAAACTACTCCCAGCTGGTATTTACGATACCGTGCCACATAACCAATAGCCTACGACGAGAATAAATGACGCCTATCAATCAAGCCCACACTATAGCTTAAAACAGTTCTTCAAAAGATGCTGAGCTCCAGACTCAGTTCTACTCGAATATACGGATGCTCTGGAAAAGTATGCATCCTGATAAATGGACATCTACAAGCTACTGCAACATCACATCCATAGGTAAAGGTAAAGGTTCCCCTAGCACATATGTGCTAGTCGTTCCCGACTCTAGGGGGTGGTGCTCATCTCCGTTTCAAAGCCAAAGAGCCAGCGCTGTCCGAAGACTCTCTGTGGTCATGTGGCCGGCATGACTAAACACCGAAGGCGCACGGAACGCTGTTACCTTCCCACCAAAGGTGGTTCCTATTTTTCTACTTGCANCTGCTTGATTAAAGGTTCCTTTTGAAATAATCTGTTTCAAGAGCCTTTACTTTCTCAAGTTAGGAGAGGAGCCATTACACTGGCTCTTACCATGAATTTAGATAAACTCCAGCTGTTCGTCTGCCTCACTGATGTCTGACTCTGAAGGCAGCTGATAACTGGCATATGGCCCTGGCCCCCTCTCTGCCTCCGACACAGACCCCTCATCAGAGCCTTCCCCAGACTCCAGGACTGGGCCATGTTTCTCCCCAACCTCCTCAGTTTAAATCTGCTGCCAGCTCTGCTGGCGGGCCACAATACAGGTTATAGAAAAGGTTGGGACACTCACACACACACCGAGATAGTGAGATGGGCAACATATAACCTTAATGAATTAAGGAAAACATTACGAATACTGAAAAGTGTTTTTTTTTTCTTTCAGAAAGTTACACAAGCGGCACCTACCAGCTGTGTACAACAATTTGGTCTTTTCTATTTCAAGCTCAGGACCCCATTTTTCGTCCATCTGAATCGGTGCCGGCTGCTTCTTAAAGTGGTGGACTAAATCCTGGGCTGTGGTGGTTTTCCCTAGCTGGATTTCGCTACACTGAGCAAGCAGCCGCGTCGCCAGGGCCACGTTCCCACGTTTCCTCGCAAATTTTGCAGCCGTCAGCCCCAGTTCCATCAAATGGCTTTTCACAGGAACACTCTGCCCTGAAAACACAGAAGTCCAAAAGTCAACTAAAAGCATCAGAGAATAGAATATAAAAATTAATAGAACAGAATAAAGGGGAGAGAAGAGAGAATAGAATAGAGGAGAATGGAATAGAATAGAAAAATTGCAGAGAAGAGAGGATGCCACAAAGAAAAGAGGTTTTCAACTTATTTTCCAAAGCCCCAGAAGGCAGGACAAAAAACAATGGATGGAAACTAATCAAGGAGAGAAGCAACTTGGAACTAAGGAGAAACTTCTGAACAGTTAGGACAATGAACCAGTGGAACTGCTTTCCTCCAGAACTTGTGGGTGCTTCATCACTGGAGGTTTTTTTTAAAGAAAAGACTGGACAGTCACCTGTCTGAAATGGTATAAGGTCTCCTGCTTGAACAGGGGGATTAGATGGACTCCAACGGTCCCTTCCAGCTCTATTCTAATTAAAGATATCTCATCTCTCCTCTTGAATAATATTACCAAGCATTGGGTCTAAATAGTGTTTCCCTTTATTTAAAAATATGATCCCAACTTCTAGGTTCTCTTAAATCCAAGAGTAATTAATCCTGATGAAATAAGTGTTTCCTTCTTTTTAAACTTTAAGGCAGAAAATCAGGTGAAGGGATTTTGCTTCCTGTTTAACTGCACTATAGGGGGAAGTAGCTTTAGATTCTCCCAGGAATAACCGATACAAACAGAACAGACACTCATGAGATAATGTATGATGATTTCTGAGAAACAAACTGCAGATTAATACAACTGCTACACTTTTGTCAGAGGGACAATTCTAGGATTTCCTTATTAAAATGCACGTGAGTTTAGCATCTATGGTATACCTTTCAGCTTCTCCAGCAACTGATTTTGGAACATGGTGTATCTTAAAGCGTGCATCCATGGCCTTACATCATGTTGCTTACATGAACGCAAGGCTTCGCTGAACAAGGGAATGAGGCAATCCTGTAAAGAAACAAAGGATGTGAGTAGTGGATGGGCTGTAAGGCATCTTTTCCTCCAGCTTCTAATGGAAACAGTCCTGCACAGATCTTGATGCATTCTGAAAGTATGTGCTGTATATCTCAGTCTACACACCTCTTCATTAATCATAGGTGTTTGACAATACAGTAATGAAAAGTCAGCAGTGATGCCAGCTGGCTTCTAGTATTACAGTACTTAGATTTTTATTGTTTCTTGATTATGTTTTGATTATGTTTTAGATTTATGTTTTAGATTATGTTTTAGAGTGAGAATTATAATTAGGGTTTTACTGCTATTGTGACCTGCCCAGAGTCGCTTAAGATGATCAACCATACAGATCTTTAAATGAAATATTTTTATAGTAAGATTAGTTATGAAATGCCCTCAGACAGTAAAATCCACACACACCCCCAAAAAAGAAAAAAAAGCAGCAAGGGAACTACAGAATAAGACTTTGATCTTAACCCCATCAACCCAATTGAGGCATGTTAATATATGAAGCCTAGGGTGGTTATTCTCAAAGTATTTCGCCTGGCCTGGACTTCGTTCTCCGTCATATAATGAGGTCTTTTAAAGCCGGGAGTCCCTAATTTCACACACTTGGCCAGGGCAGGCCACAAGCAAGAACACCCATCTGTATCGGATGTCCTGGTCCTGCCCTGTTCAGGAGGCAGAGACATATACCTCGGAGGACAGCCGGCTGGAGACCGTGTTTTCCAAAGCAGACGAACAGTACAGCTGGAGAGTGCTGAGGACGGGCAAAGATTGAGAAATGGTCAAGGTGGACAGTCGCAAAGGCCCAAGAGCAATGCGGGACGTCTGCTTCAAATACTTGGTCAAGTTCCTGGGGGGGAAAAAACACAAGGGGCACATCCAAGAATTATTCGAGCTGCCGGACTTCCGTAAAGCCTCTCCCGGCCATCCCAACCACCGCAGCCGTGCTCACTCTGTCATGGGCTGCCATTTCTGGTCCTGGTCGAGGTAGCCTACGGCTGTGGCCAAACAGACGGAGCTCCTCAACAGCTGAACCTCAATGGCTTTCTGAAGTTCTCTGGGATCGGGAGACAACACGTTTGGAAGGAGCTTCTTCATATCTACAACGAGCGTCAGCAGATATAGAGTTGCTAATATCCATCGACTTCAGGCTGGCTGTTTTAATCCCACAATAAAGCCACCACCACCACCACCACCACGAGTGGATGAGTGTGGAAATTAAGCTGAATCCCCTCTGAGTCAACATAAGCTTTAATTTGGAGTACCTATTTTTTCTTTGGCCCCTCCAATAAGCAGGTTGATGTCCTCCCCAGGAAGCAGCTCCAGTTGTTCTGTACATTCGGCAAGTTCTCCGGCTCCAAAGCTGCTCAGGGACCTGCGATAAAGGGGAAGCCGCTTCTTAATTTAGCCCAGCAACAAGCAGCGTTCTGCTTTATTTCTGCAATGGTCACTTCCAACCTCTACAAATACTGGCCTCTCACTTTCTGATAGGCTACTGTTTGGGAGAGGGGAGATATTGATTGGTAGAATTTCTACATGCTAGAAAAAGAGGGGGAAGTAATTGGTTTTCCCTTTTACTTTTCTCCTTGGCCTCATCTGTTCCTTTCATCCGGGGTGAAATTCGGCAGATTCTGGCAGGCTCTGGAGAACCGGTAGCGGAAATTTTGAGTAGTTCGGAGAACCGGTAAATACCACCTCTGACTCGCCCCGTCCCCATCTATTCTCTGCCTTCCGAGTCCCAGCTGATCAGGAGGAAAGGGGATTTTGCAGTATCCTTCCCCTGGAGTGGGGAGGGAATGGGGATTTTGCAGTAT